ATTCTTATTCTTATTCTACTCCCTTGGTTCATATGGAGACTATAGCCTGATACGCTTTTTCTCCGAGAGACGAGTTATTGATCGCTATGCGACCGAAGAGCCGGCCGTATCTAACGGCTTATACGCACGCGCGGGAAATAATGCCTTCCGGGAGGACTTTTAAGGGGAACTGGCCTCCTATTCAGTCGTTATTGGCAAGGAGAAAACCCGGAAAACTCCTTGCAGCCAGCCTGTCCGATCGCGGCGCGAACCCACGACCGAACTTCCCAGTGTTTAGGGTCTGGTCACCGCTATGAGCGGCTACGGAGACCACTCGCCCACTGGTGGAGGCTTTCTATTTCTCTCTCTCTCTCTCTCTCTCTCTTCTTCAACACCTGTCCGAAATGACGGGCAAGGGTGTCATTGTAAAGATCATTGATCCTGTTGGCCTCGGCTCTGTTTGGAGAATGAGTGTTCGTAAACTCCTGAACCTCTCCCCATTTGACAAGGAAGTGTTTGTCAACTTTCACTCCTGATGATTTTTTGCATTGTTTCAATTGAAATCACCTATCTGTTTTTTAGAAGCCATGATTTACACAACACTTAAATAAATGTAAATACCCTACACTGAGGTGATGTACGTAATAAATAAGGGAGCAAGCCGAATTCCAAAGGGAGCTCTGTACTACAGATATAATAATAATATATTATAAAAATAGCAGATTGTCATTGGCAACAGCAAAAGAGTGGAAACATCATTCGCACTTGTTCGCAGAAAGTTTGTTGTTCGCCTCACGTAACTGCCTAACGGAAAGTCCGTTGTTCGCTGCGTCCGTTATTCGAGGCGTACGTTATACGAGGCACCACTGTATTACCGTGACCTTTGGTTATTTTACAATTTCGTGATTTGACTTCGATTTTTTATCATGAGCTATCATAAAAATTGTTTCCCACGGACTTGCTTCCTTGTTGAGGATGAGTCATCTAGTCATTAATGTGTCACCCGGAACTTTCGATAAATTTCCAGTATCAGATGCCAGGCTATTGACAACAAACTCATGACCTCATGGAAAAACCCCAGAAGGAAAATATCCAATAACCAGGGAGAGCGTTGAGAATCCAGGCAGTCGTCTTCTAGCCGTTCAACTGAGAATGTAAAAGAACTTGTCCCTGAATCCTCCGAATAATACTTCTGAACGTTACCCAACCGGAAAGCCATTGGATATTCAATTGTGGACTGTTTTAATCATCCGTTTCACTTCTCTGTGTTATTACAGGACATTAAATAATCACCTTCCAAGTGCAAGAATCCAGGATCGCTACACCTCGTCTTTTAACAAAGTAAGAAATGAGACTATCAAACTGTTAACACCAGATAATACAACAGTCCTTTAGCATAAATCGTAAATTGATAGTGTAGTTTACACACACTTCCTAGTGGTACACATTATGTCAGTTCACCTCTTTAGAAATAATTGCCTAGTTATTAATCCATACAATATTCTCCATCACTAACGGTGTAATCTGATGTAAGTTCATCACAATATTGCAACAATACAATTCCAGTGCATGAATCCTACATTTGCCAGTTACTTGAAGCAGTTGAATAGATGCCTATTATGCTTTTGTCTAAATTTTTCATGTATTTTTGTATCTTTCGTCTTTTTTTACATGCGTAAAATAATGACTATATTCTAAATTAATGAAGATCAGGATGACTTCAACAGTGCTATCGATTTTATTCAAACAATATTTTACATTGATAATCGTATGATATGAATCACGGTGTTGCTGTAGTTATAAAGTGCTTGTGGAATCTACTGTGTTGCTTTTCGCTTATTCCTTTTTGTTTCCTATGAAGACCAATCAATGATTTTGCAATGTTGTCCATGTGTATAAGTCATTGTTACAGTGCGCTACAAATTGCAGACTGTTTGATGCGCTTTTATTACTTACGAAGTTCGCAATATTTAATAATGCATGATTTGTCATATTAAGATGTTACTTTGTGTGACAGCCAGATTTGAAAAAAATTTTTGCTCTTTCGAAAGTTAAATTAGTTCAAATCCCAGCGAAAACAAAATTTTCAATTTAATTACTGGAGGATGATCGCATCTCTTTTTCCAGAGTCACTTCCTTTCCCAGGTGACTCATCGAATGTGTGACCGGGAACAACTACAAATATTCATTCACCATTGGTCGAAAATAGTAACGTGGCTAAGAAGAAGGCATCGAAACCAAAGGGGGAGGACCTCCGATATAATAGGATTGAATCGAGGACAAAAAGGTCGTCAGGAGTCTGAGAGTTCACTGACCCTGTTCCCGCCCCAAGAAAGTGTAATGTAACTGTGATCCATCGCCGATCCCTTCGACCGTCGCTCCTGTCTAATGTTGCCGTTCTCCGAACATTCGAACTTCTCGACCCAAGAACCTGACAAACCGACATAACAAACACGAATTTCCTCAACGATCTACGATCTCGACCCATAAATCAAGTTATCAAGATATTTAGCATCACGCGCAATTATGTAAGCTCTCTCTCAGCTAGGAACGCTTTAACTCCAAATCTACTAGTATAAAGTTTAATAGATTATATTACGTTGTATCCGTATTATCCAGTATATTACGCTACTAGGGCTCATCTATTTTGCCGCTATATAAAAGTTAAAGGAAATGTTATTGTAACCATATGTGTAAATAGTTTACAGGAATAAACAGAAATTATTTCTTTATAATTGAGTAGTAGTGTGCACTTCTTTCGGCCGCATTGTCTCAGGCCGTCTTCATCACAGATTCCTAGTGTCTACATAGGCGACCGCTCATGCAAAACCGAATCCGGAGCCAACAATATTTCTGTGTCTGCCTTAAAAGACACAGTAGTGTCAGTCATAACATAGGCATCATCGGTCTGGTGCCGACCCTCTAGGGAGAAATCGGGAAACAAAATAATTCGCTACACCTAATTTCGACAACGATTCGGTAATGAATTTCTCGGTGGATGGGAACCATGATAAATTTAAAAGTGACTGGAATTCTTATGATCTTCCTAATCTGTTCCTGACACCAGACAAGAAAGGGATAACTATTTCTATAAAAATTAAGAGAGACAGATTACAATCCGTTCTAAAGATAACTCTGATTGATAACCCATAGCCTTCCTGTATATTCTGATCATAGAGAATTTTTTATAGACTGGAGATGGAGAGAAGTTGATTCATCGGTATGTAGAAGACTTTCTTGGGCTAGAAAAAGAGGATTGACAGTCTAATATTTATCCTTGGTTCTTAAGGTGAATCCGAGCTAAAATGGCGATTTCGAATCCTTTTATATAAAAATTTCTCTCCAATCGTGGGCCAGTTTTTCGACCATCTGACAGAACGTCTAGATAAGTCGTATAGGCCAGAAGTCTTGTCATCGGTGATGATAACATCTTGCTCAGGAAATAGACGGTAAAAAGGAAGTTCTAGTTCCTTGTTCACATCGAATTTTATCGTGAAAAATTAAAAAATTGTCATTTTTAATATCGAAATAATACATCAAAATTTTAAACTTATTAAATAAAATATCGCTCTAACTTCAGAATCTCATAATTGCATCTTGACCTTAGAAAACTGCTATCAATTTACAGCATTAATTACATAGATTCTTTTGTTCAACAAATTTGAATATTTAACTGTAATCATCGTAGTGAAACTAATGCACCATATTAATATCCTCTTGCATATGTAAGAAAATCAGTTTTTTTACATGAATCAGCATAGATATATTAAGTATATATATTTCTAGTACTTACTTTTTTTGGAGTAAGGTATTTTCACGCAAGAACCATCCTTTCCAGCAAATCGCCATCCGTGGAAAGGACATTCGATGCAATCCTCGTGAACTTTACCATCAGTTCCTAAATGAGCGCCCAAATGTGGACAAAAAGCGTCTAAAACGAAGCATTTGCCTGTTTTTCCACGAAATATAACGAACTGCTGACCTGTAAAGTAATTAAAATTATTTCTAATCATAAAGATTTCAAATTTATTATTATGAATATATAAATGTACTTTGCGTAAATAGAGATAGTGTATCTTTACAATGAATGTATTTACTCATTTATTCACACACTTTCATAATTAATTTGTACGAGGGGTGTTCAAAAAGTATCGGATCTTTATTTTTCCCGCGTAAATCAATGATGCACAGGAGGTCTCTTTCGGTGGAGTTGTGGAGGGGACAGTCATGCGCAGTCCTGAATTTTTTCCAGCCTGCAGGAAGCGTCAGTCACTGGCAGTCGACCTATGAGTGAGGACGTGTAGTGAGCGCTCATCGGATTCCACTGTTGGAAAATGACTGAACAACGTGAGCAGTGATATTGCATTAAATTTTGCCAAAAGCTTGGCGATATCCAAGCGAAAACCATTCGCAAGATTCTGCAGGCTTTCGGGGACGATCCTCGAGGCCAAAAAAAAGCGTGGCAGGTCCACAGCAATGTCAAGGTCATGTTGACAGTTTTTTCGACTCCCGTGGGGTGGTGTATCGTGAATACGCACCACAAGGCCAAACCATCGCAAAGGAGTACTACCAGGAGGTCCTTCGTCGTCTTTGTGATGCAGTGCGACGCAAACGACCGGATCTATGGTCAACCAAAACTTGGCAGCTTCATCATGATAACGCACCAACCCATTCTGCGCATATGATTCGGACTTTCGTCGCCAAACACAACATTCCTGTGGTTCGTCACGCTCCGTACTCTCTCGACATGGCTCCGTGTGACTTTTGGCTATTTTCCAAGCTGAAAATGCCACTAAAAGGAACCCGATTTTAGTCAAGAGAAGACGTCATGCGAAATGCGACGGACCGGTTGATGGCCATTCCAAAAGATGCGTTCCAGCAGTGTATCCGACAATGGCAGGAGCGCTGGGAGAAGTATATACTTTACCAAGGAGACTACTTTGAAGGGGATTAGGGTTTTGTACTTCAAAATCAATAAATGTATTTTTGCCGACCAAAGGTCCGATACTTTTTGAACACCCCTCGTACACCTATAAATATACAGTCACTCAGTCAGTCTTTATTTAAAGTGCATACGCACATATCTGGCACCGCTAGGTTCATTACCAGATAAGTATACATAGGAATTATTTACATATTAACAGTACAAATCAACAGTACATAAAACATTATAGTCAATTGAAGTAATACAAAGCAAAATAATATAAATACAGTTTTACATAATATAATAAACAGTAGCATAATAACATACAGCATTTACAATAAGATATACAGTAGACTACTCAAGTATAATATCTTGTGGTATATATATTAATAAGAAATATACAAATTGTATGTAAAATCTATATTAAAGCAATTGCTAATTACAGTGAAAACATAAAGCAAACTTTACAAATAGCAATCATTAGCTATTATTATTAAAATCAATCATTACAATCTCTACGAAATGTCAATACAAATTTAAATACGTTGATACGTATTCAAACTTAAATAAGAATTTGTACTGAAAAAATACAAAATAATTTATGTATTTAAAATTAATTAATTTTAAGGTATGAATGTAATGACACATTCAAGTTTACAGACTTCTATAAAATCGAATTTGAAAATATTCACACAATACAGTTATATTTAATTATTGAAATGAGAAAAGAATTTATTAATGTTAAGTACTGTACGTAACTGAAGTAAATGATGTCAAAAGCTGATAGATTGCGAATAGTAGAAATTATTAAAGGGTGTTTTTACTTCTTCAAAAAGTGAGATTGTAGCCGTTACACAAAGATATGGGAATATAAATAAAATAATAAGTCATATGGAATACAGGAAAAGTTAGTCAATTAGAAGATAATCAATATTTATAAGTAAAGCTAAGTTAGGGCTGTTTACACGTATTTAAAAGTGAATTGTCAGCAAGTAAAGTTCTAATTTCGAACTTTATGCACAGTGAAACGATACATTCGTGATTAGAACAAATAAAACAGACTGAACGCAAAATAAAAGTTCAAAACAGTTATGTAGTAGCTAGGAGAGCATTCACTAAAGAAAACAATGCCATAGATTGAAAACATTTTGATTCGGATGGCCCTGACAACTTTAAATGTTAATGGCACATTTTACAGATATAGCCTGAGATTGCTTTTAGCCAGTAAAGAAAAGCAGGATTTCTGCACGATTCATATGATGGCAAAACGCACAGCTTTTTGAAGGAGAACCATATCGCCAAACATGATGTTTACTATTATCGGACTTTTATTTTTCGAAGTTCTTTTACTTGCAAGTAAAAAATAACCTTTGCATATATAATACGTTTTTCTAAATTGCGAATGTGATCGAATAATATTGCTAGAAATAAACGTCAATTTTTGGAAGAGCCCAGCGAACAGTCCAAACTTAAATTCCAGAGCGACCTTGTATGACTTTTAAAAATTAAAACGTTACAATCAGTATGAAAATTTTAGTAGTTTTAAAACGATCATAAGTAAAGATAAATATGGGTAAAACTGGTATAGGCCATACTGAACACAAATCTTAATTAATTTAACAATAAGGCAAAAGTTTCATATATTCCGTTTAATTATCAAATTTGTTATTTTAAAATTAAGTTGTTCTAATTTGTAAATAATAATTTTAAAAATAAAAGTTTGTTCTGATATCTGAATAAATTAAACATGGCAATTTGAAATACAGTGGTGCCTCGTATAACGTACTTAATCCGTTCCAGGTGCACGTCCGTTAAGTGAAAAGTCCGTTATACGAAACGCATTTTCCCATAGAAATACACATTAAAACATATAATTCGTTCCGCAGCATAAAATAACCATACTGTACCATGAAAAAAATGAAAATGGAGCAGTCATCAATTATGCCGGATAGTCAGATGTTGTGAGGAGGAGGTGGAGGAACACTTTCTTCACACATTCATACAGATACAGACTTTTTCACATTGCAGCAGGTCTCTTTTTATTGTTTTTTAATCGGAGTCAGATTCAGGAGAGGCTACCGGAGCTTGCAGGGTCAACTCCTCTTGTTCCATTCTTTGTTTTTTGCAGCTTGCTTCTTGAGAAACATGTCCAAGGTAGTCTGTTTCTCTCTCTTCTTCAACATCTGTCGGAAATGATGGGCAAGGGTGTCATTGTAGAGATCATTGATCCTGTTGGCCTCGGCTATGTTTGGATAGTGAGTGTTGGTAAACTCCTGAACCTCTCCCCATTTGACAAGGAAGTTTTTGTCAACTTTCACTCCTTCTGATGATTTTTTGCTTTGTTTCAATTGAAATCACCTTTCTGTTTTTTTAGAAGCCATGATTTGCACAACACTTGAATAAATGTAAATAC